TGGGGAATAACTTTCCTCGAAGCCAAAGCTCTACTTAACCTTACGACCGTTAAACATAAAAAGTAACTTGTAACATTTCCAACGATAAATCCCTCGTGGTTCCACTGTCTTAAGTTTTATAGAAGTTTATTGCTTACCACGCCAGCGCGGAATAGACATATTTTCAGACGGAAAATATAAATGTAGGTAAACGTTATTTTTAAGGTTAGAAGATAGAATCTAATCTAGAGGCTTATTAAACACTTGCTGTTGCTCGCGACTTCGCCCGCGTGAGATTAAAAAATATGGCCTATGTTACTTACGGATAAATTACCTTTCTAACGGTCAAAGAATTTCTAAAATCGGCCCAGTGGTTTTTAAGTTATTTAAATACATACAAAAATACTCTATATAATATTAGTATAGTTAATTTGTTAATGTTAAAATTTTGTAATATACTATAAAATTTTATACATATTACGGTTTCGTATAGGTACTGTTTTGAAAACTAAACTACTGTAATTTACTTTTTGGTAGTTAAAATTGAAAACATGCAATACAAAATTAATATAAAAATTCTTCGGCAAGCCACACTCGAGCAATATACATGAACCTAAAAATATGCTGGGAATTAAAAAGTTGAAACAGTAAAACTCCGGTCGGAAATAATGCGGTGAAGTTTTTTTCTCTGCCGCATAAAATAAACATTTAATTGAAATGCTAGGAGCCACTTTTGCTACGTTTACAAAAAACAACTTCAAACATAATACGTATGTCAGAACAGTTCCAAATGTGCTTTAAAACTGCACTAAGTTAATTCTACGAGCTGCACTGCCGTTTCTGTTTGAACATTTAAGTCAATTGATAAAAAAAAGTAAAGTATGGCAAATTTACCTGTAACGTACATAAAGGTCGTTTTATAATTGCTTTTGATGACAAAAGAAACAATAAAATTTAATATAAACAATTTAATTCTGACAAAGGATTCAAATCCGAGAGATTATCAACAGAATTATAAACCGATTTGAACGAAGCCTTAAAATTTGCAAAGATAACATGCCCGTAAATTTATCAAACAAAAGGTTATTACAAAACAATACGTTGAATTATAAATTCCCGGCTCTAATTAGGTGGAGCGGCGAGAAATAGCAGATGCTCTGCCATCTATAATGGTTAACTTGAAACCAGGGCCGGTTCATTGTTAAAACACAATACGGCCTACATAAATTAAGATAAACCTACACAAAAGTGCTTTCGGGAGTTACGGGATCATCATTAGGTATTCCGCGGCTCTGCAAGAATCCTGCTTCTCTTTGTTTTATGAAATTAAAACAATTGAAAACGAACATTTCCCTTTAAATTGTAATACAGCAAAAGTTGCAAAAGTAAAAGAACGTGAGAGTTTTTTGTCAGGCGCTGGTAAAATGAGAAAAAAAATATATATAATACATATAACCAAGTTTAGCTTGCTTACCATAATCGATTTATAATATAATGAACCATTATAAAACCACAGTTATAACAAAAAATGTTTTCTTTCAAAGTTTACGAATTAATTCTTAAGTAAGAGCCTTATCCGTCGCTTCTGTTTTCACCGAGAATTAGAACTTTTTCAATTGATCTTCACAAGACTTCTAAACTCGACAAAGCGCGCCTCAAGTTGTCTTAGCGTTATTTCAGTCACGGATTTACAGCTCCTTTGAAATAAACGGACAAATACAAAACCTCTCTAATTTGACTAGAAAAATACTAATATTATAAATGCAAAAGTTAAGATGGATGGATGGATGTTTGTTAGAGTTTGTAGCCTAAACAGCTGAACTAATTTCGATGAAATTTGGTATAGATGTAGAGGATAGTCTGGAAGAACATATAGGCTATTCAATTTAGTTTTTTTAATTCTACATAAGTGTGGTAAGTAACTCCGTAAGCGAAGTCGCGGGCGAAAGATATGTAGTTACTAATCATTTCTGAATATGTACAGTCAACTGCATAAATATGAATACAATTAAGCATCAGAAACTGGTACGTTCTTTTGGTTTCAGAAATACGTACACGAAGCCGTCCGTATTGTTTTGACTATGAATATGTACTAATGCTGAATACGTGCAACGTATTTTTGAAACCGTACGCCTGTACACGTTTTAGTTTTGTTTTTGTGAACATATTTATGCAGCTAACTGTACAGTTTATGTATGGTAATAATTCTTTAAGTTTGGATTGGAACACTGGTTAACATTGTATATTTTCGGACGTTTAGTTTTTTTTTATGCCAATTCAATCATGTTACCTTTGAAGACTTTACTTTGATATTATTGTAACTTTAAGTATTGTGATATTTTCTTCTGTTGACGATTATAAATTCGTTGCCAAAATTTCGTATCGTTTGTTTCATTACAAAGGAAACTGTGAATCCGTGACTGAAATAACAGAGACACCGTCTGCCCCTCCCCCGCGCACTCCGTGCACCCCTGCGTACCCCCGCCCCAACAAGTTTCGACTCAAGAATGGAATAACAAGTTATTATTTGGTAATGGAAAACAATAGGCTGGAGTAAGCTTTTGTGCGCGTTTTTTTCAAAAAGTTCCGACTTAACTTTGTTTAGAAAGGAAGACGTAGAAAAAGTTCGATTACTTCATGTAATGCTTTATTTACAACTAGTTGTTGCCGGCGACTTTGTCCACGTAATATTAAGATAAAAAAAGGAGCCTATAATATGCCCGTCTATGTTAGCTACCCTTCAATGAAAGTCCTGCCATTTAAGAGATTACCCGAAACAAACGTAGCTTGCGGACAGACAGACAGACAATTTTTTTTAAATACGATTTTTGTTATCAGCAACGCAAATACATACGAGTACATCATCTTCCCAAATTTTGGAATTTTTCATTTGATATTACAAACAGACACTCCAATTTTACAATTCCAAGTACAAAGGGGACCTAGTCTTCTAATTAACCCAGATCCACCAACAACACGGACACTGTTCCTTGATAATTAGATTATTTGAATCAAATTGAAGCACAGGATGGAAAATCAACGACATTTAATCCATAGAAATGTGGAGTTAGCTTTTAAAATCACAAATGTACGTGGCGGCGCCGAGACAAAGGAATCCGAACGTGATCTGAATGAAGACTACGAAACCTAATAACGATTTCTACTCTTTGCTCTTTGCTCTTTGCCAGTCTGCGGCCGCCTTTAATTATAACAGACTCCCTGTTTATATTGTACACAGTTCCCTTGTTACAATACTAGCAGATGTCTATTGATTCGCTTGTAGCTAACTATTGTATTAACGTAATCATTATAATATAATATTATAAGTGAAGTGAAGTGAAGTGAAGAGCGTCGGTGGCTCAGTGGTTTAAGCACTTGACTTGTAATCTACAGGTCTTGGGTTCGAGTCCCGCCATGTACCAATGTGATTTTCGATTTTTCGAATTTTCATATGTACATAATTTACCCGACGTTCTTACGGTGAAGGAAAACATCGTGATGCAACCTGCACATATCGGCGAGGAAATTCAAAGATATGTGTGAAGTCAACCAACCCGCACTGGGCCAGCGTGGTTGACTATGGCCTAGTCACCCTAACTTAGGGTAGGCTCCGAGCCCCTCGGTGGGGACGTATAGTGAGCTGGTGATGATGATGATGATGATGATTATAAGTGCGAAAGTTTAGATGGATGTTTGTTAGAGTTTGTAGCCTAAACCGTTAAACTGATTTCGATGAAATTTGGTAAAAATGTAGAGGATAGTCTGGATGAACATATATACTACTCAGTTTTTTTTTATTCCACGCGGACGGAGTAGCGGGCGAAAGCTAGTTAAAAATGAATCAAGTGATCATGCGTATATACTTTAGCACAAAGTCTAAAATTGTTTAGATTAACGCATTTTTTTTAACTGTCCTTGAGTCGCCGAAATCTATGTTTAAACAGTGGTATTATTTTAGCACTATAAATTTATCTTTATATTCTATGCTATTCTAGATAAACGATTTTAACTCTTGTTACAAAAGCATAAGGTTGATAAATCATTCAACTACAAAGATAAGATATACGCCCCCTAACAAAATATAATCAGCTACGTAATACGTTACTACGTTCTGGTTACTACCAGAATACATTAATATAAAACTATCATAATACGTTACAAAAATCTAACATTTTCGTCATCTGAACAAGATTGATGGACAACGAAACCGTAGACCTACAAATTATCTAGACAAATTATGATCTATCAATGTCAGGTCTGTTTTTAAATTGTATTTTCTCTTTGATTCTTTTAAAAAACACCGATGAAAAGATATCCAGCATTTTAATCATCGTTTCGTAGTTAAAAAGAACTGCTAACAGAAGAATGCAACCTAATTCGTATTTACTTCTAAACAAAAACTTGCTCTCAAATATAGTGCCGTTTGTTGATAACAATCTCTCCCTTATTTCGTCTTTCATTTTACTTGTTTCTCAAATTATAAATGCGAAAGTTTAGATGGATAGATGGATGTTAGAGTTTGTAGCCTAAACGGCTTAACGGGTTTTGATAAAAGGCATAGATATAGAGGATAGTTTGGAAGAATACATAGGCAACTTAATTTTTTTTTTAATTCCGCGGATAAAGACTTGGCGAGAACTAGTATTATTATAATTGCGAAAGTCAAGATGTATGGATGGATGTATTGATTGATGGATATTTGTGTTGTTGATAAGCAGCCTAAACGACTGAACGGATCTCGATGAAATTTGGCACAGATATAGAACAAAGTCTGGAAAAACACGTTATGTTACTTGTTCGTTTTGTAATCCTGTGCGGACGGAGTCGAGGGCAAAAGCTAACACTAAATATTGACTAAAAAACTACTATTGGTATCTATTTGACGTGTCAAAGTAAGGCACGTTACACGTTACATCACAAGTATTTTTCTTGTTCATTTTTTTCGAATAATTAACGTTATCATCAGAACAAGTATTAGAGTAAATATACCGAACAGAATATTCTGATTTGTGATTTTGTAGGCCGTGCCCGGTTGAACCAGTCGAGTTGCGTTCGCGCCGGCGTCGCACGTGTTTTAAAAATAAATAATCCAAGATGGCGACTGGAGTGTCTACCCGGTGTTTGTTAACGTTGTCAAAACGAGGATTTAGTTCGAAAGCTGATAAAAATGTCGCATTTCTCGGCCTCGGGAATATGGGAGGATATATGGCCGCCAATCTTGTTAAAAAGGTAATATTTTATAACCAAGAAAAACGAGTTGGCGATATTTTAATTAATTCCAAATATGTTACATGAGGTCGCATAACAAGTAAGCACTATAAAAAAATAAACAACCTAAAAATCGAATGTTGAACTCAGATCAGTTTTTTAAAGTGAAAATTAAATTATTTAAATGTTTAAGAAATTAATATCTTTAGTAAATAATCATTATTTTTTATGTGATAAATTGGCAAATAATTGAAATGCAAAAAAAAAAACACGAAATAAACACCATACATAAAGATAAATGAATTCGTATCAAATATACATTTAAAAATCTTAAACAAATTGCGATATTATTCATGAATTTTTAAACGTAATTGATAACGTATTTTATATTTTTGAATATTGTTCCAATAAAATTAATGAGCAAAATATTACTAAAATACCGGCAACAAAACTTGCAAAGTGAGATTAGACAATAATTTATCGATTTAATTATCATTCGACATTGACCGAATGACTTCACATACTTTGTCCTTTTCTTTCTCTATGTATCAGAGAGAGAAAGCTTATTCAAACAGAAGTTTGAGGCCGAACGGCATTATACATAAAAGATAACAATTTATTGAATAACATAACCTGTAAATATCATTCAAAAGATTTATTTTTTAAGATTATCTATTTGTCTTTTTTTTTCAAACATTTTAAAATAATCATGGTTGTCACAACACAAATAAGATTAAAAATAAAAACTATTTTTTTTGGCAAACTGGCTAGTTTTGTCTGATCTTTTTTTAAAACCTACAAGTAAAAAATAGTGGGTTAAAATGTAAAAAGTATTAATTAAGATTGTCTTCTTTATAGCTGTAGAATTTAAGAAAAACTGATCAAGGCACCATTAAGGGCTTCTTTGGGGGAAATTTAAAATTAAAATCCTTTAAATTTATGCAAATATCATGTTAAATTGTGCAGATGGGCGCTTTTCGCATGAAACATTTTGCGAAAGGTCTGCCCCGGCCCTGGCGGTACGGAATAACATTAAATCATTTTTATTTCATTGTATTTAAGTCAGATTACGCGGTAATAAAACACAGCCGGTTTTATACATTCAGTTTTTATTTTATAATTTAATAAAAAAAAAAAGTTTCCGTTATGTATTGAATGTAATTCTATGTTTTTGTGGCTATTTGTTTAAATTTTCCTCTTTTCAATAGTTGTGCTGGTTCAAAATATATAATTAAATAAACTAAAAAAAACTTAACTAGCTACCAACACAACAGTTGTATTGTTCAGAAACTAAAGAACTATCCATAGCGAGCTTTATAAAGCCTTTTGAGAGAGCTTTGAAAACTTCACAAAAACACATCGTTCAAGGGTTTCAACGTGCGAGGTTACGACCCGTCTAAAGACGCGTTGACTGCTGCCGCTAAGAACGGCATCAGTGGTGCTAACTCCATCGCGGCGGCGGTAGATGGCGTTGACGTGGTCGTGTCTATACTGCCAAGCAACAAAGTCGTGTTGGACGCTTACCTCGGGAAAGATGGAGTCGTTAAACACGTAAGTATATAGGTTTTTTTTATAACATAAGGTGGCAAACGAGCACGCGGCCACCTGAATCCGCCAAAGTGGCGAAGCAAGCTACCCATAGACATCCGCAATTACAGATGCGTATCCTACCCTTATCCGACGGAGGAGGAGACGCACATAAAGAGGATATTTCTCCTTCCTATGCCTCTACTCCACCGTCAAATCCACTTCCTCTTCCCATTCTCTTTTTATAAGAAAAGGGTGGTTTAAGGAAAAAAAAAAGAAAGGGAGTAAAATTAGGCCTCCAGAACCACACTCATCAAACGAAACACGGAATCGCTTCCATTTCACGCCTGTCTTCTGTGTGGTCGTGGTATTGCACTGGGCGCTCCGGCCCTGCAGTGCTAATATGTTAAGGCTGGCACTACCACTTTTTAAGGTGGAGTAATCATTTGATTCAAAATACTGAGACATTTATATCGATTAGTCACCAGTAAACAACTGTGAGTATAACCAAAAGATACATATAGCATTCAAATGGACCCATGATGTTATACTTGTTCTACTTAACTATTACTGGATACTAATTTTTATAAATTATTTGTCTCTACTATCTAAATCATAAGTGAATGTTGAAAGTAATAAATCTAAGAAAAACTATATCAATATTCTACTTTTTCAGGCAACAAAAGGCGCTCTACTCATCGACTCAAGTACAGTAGACCCAAATGTACCAAAACAGATATTCCCCGTAGCAACAGAGAGCGGTGTTAACTTTATTGACGCACCCGTTTCCGGAGGTAAGATGCAAATCAAATACGAACAACCAACAGAAAGCACAAAATTAGAACGATACAGGACCTAACGGTTATAAGGTTGCTGCATTAGCGATAGCACAGGTACCCGAAGGGTCCCCTCCTCGGGGGTACAAAGAAAAACCTATGCAATAATAAAAACTCTAGGGGGGGCGTCGCTGGAGAGGACCCACCTCCTTAAAGAATCGTAAAATGTAAAGTAGATATAGAAACGCAAATAAGACTATTAATAGTTGATAATAGCTAAGGGACAAACTTAGCTTTAGTAGCGCCCTGGGCGAGACTAGATGACGCTCTCTTTTACCATGACAGGGGGTTGCTAGTTAAGAGTATTTGGCAGACGCCTAGGGCGGTCGTCTAGCCACATATTACCCTCAAACATGCTATCAAATATCTATATTGGAACAAAAATATTGCTTACTTCTTCGATATCTTAATACGTGAATGAAATTATAAAAAATAATTTAATTAAAATGAAACACAAAAATGCACTACATTTAAAACAAGAAAATGTGTTGAAGTAAAATTGTAACGCCAAAACAAATAAAATGGTTGACAAAAATCGTATAATCTCTTGAACTTGAGCGACGCCCATTTTCTTATCACATACGTGGTCTTATCACCGAGGACATTTTTAATTACTATTGAATTTTGGTAAACACACATACGTCGTAACCATGCCAGATAACTGTATATTTAGAATTTTATTTTGACTAGCTGTTACTCGCGTCTTCGTTTGGGTGGAAATTAAAAATATAGCCTATGTTACTCTCTGATAACGTAGTTTAATAATGAAGAGATACTTCAATACATACAAAAATCCAACAATCTTTTACAAGAATAGTATAGATATCTACGAAGATTTTTTTGCGATATTGTTGGATTTAAATTAAGAAATAGCATTTCATATTTCTCAGTGGTTTAAGCACTTGACTTGTAATCTACAGGACTTGGGTTCGAATGTGTACCAATGCTATTTGGATTTTTGGAATTTTCATATTTACATAATTTACCCGTCGTTCTTACGGCGAAGGAAAACGTGATGCAACCTGCACATATCGGCGAAGAAATTCAAAGATATGTGTGAAATCAACCAACTCGCAGTTACTTAGGCTCCGAGCCCCTCGGTGGAGACGTATAGTGGGCTCGTGAAAAAATTCTTTTGCTAAATATTCCTAACGGCAATGATTATTTATTTTATTTTATCAAGTTTATAAATGGGTTGTTATTTAGTTATTTAATCACTCTTTATCAAAGATCAACAGAAAACATCTCACATTGGTATGACCGTGGCGCGAGATACAATTTTACTGATAAGATTACAAACAACTTACTGATGTAATTACTTACGCATTATAATAATCTTGTTACATTATTTAATTAAAAAAAACAGACACTAATCATTATTTTTAGCGTAAATCCGTCACTTATTTTGCAAATGTTCTTTGAAATACGAACAAAAAACAACATAGATACGAAATGAATGAATGAAATGAAAAAATGAATCCAGAGATAATTAAGATAATTACGTAAGAACAAGAACAGATATAAGTAAGCCAAAACATCGAGGTAAGGGTTTTTGGTACTGGAGGACGAAAACCCGGCGCGATGACCCTACGGGAGTAGGATAAGGCAGGGGAGATGATGAACAAGAGGAGATATATGTCTCTAACAGTGGAAATGTTTGTTGATTACAACATTCAAACGGCGATGAAAAACAGAGACAGCGATCGTAGAAGATCTGAAAAAAAAATTACATAGACTCGGTTCAAAGATACATTCGTCGCCACTGACAACTGTCGCGCTAGTATAAGTAAAAGCAGTAGTATAATTGTATAAAAAAAGGAACTCACTAATGATATACGGATTATGCAACAAAAATAAAAAAAAATAAAACAAACTGTGCAAAAAAGAGTACGGACCAAGAGTCTGTAGAAGTTGAAAATAATAAATTAAAAAAAAATGTTTGTTGATGAATGTTTTAACAACGGAAACCGGTAATATTTCCTTACAACAGGTGTGATGGGAGCCCAGAACGCGACGCTAGCGTTCATGGCCGGAGGTCGCAAAGATGACTTCACACGATCTCTGCCGATGCTGCAGGCGATGGGCGCGAAGCAGTTCCACTGCGGCGAAGTCGGCTCCGGACAAGTCGCCAAACTCACCAATAACATGCTAATGGGCATCACCGGCATGGCCACTGCAGAATGCATGAATATGGGCATCAAGTAAGTGAACAAACCATATTATAAAACCAAGCATTTCAAATTTTCTTAAACTTTCTATTGAACAGAACAAGGCATAAAAAAATATGAAATAAAAGAATGTATAAAAAGGTTAATCTTCGTTACTAGCATAGTGTTACATCATACTAATATAAATGCGAAAGTTTAGATGGATAGATGTTTGTTAGAGTTTATAGCCTAAACAGCTGAACAGATTTCAATGAAATTTGGTAAAGATGTGGACCTAGCCTAGAAGAACACGCGCGTTCGGAATCGCAGGCGAAAGCTAAACATTATCCCCCAATCCGTTATATATATCTCGATTTATCGAGAGTAAAAAGCGTACTGTAGTAATTTTACCGCCAAGGTAAAAAGTCAATAATAAATTTACTTGAAAACCATCAAGCTTAAGACGTAAAAAAGGAGAAACGAACCGAAACGAAATTGCCAATTCGAATTTTATTTCGCCGAGCAAAGTATCAATCCGCACGATTTGCTTCAATCATATTTGTATGCAAATTGAAGGATCTTTGGTGTTTTATTAAAATATATGAATCTACCACACCATATAAGGACTCAATCAAACTTTTCTAAAAACAAATACACAAATTACACGGCGCCCACTAACTGCAACACAAACCAACAATAAAAAAGGCTCCTGTGGCGCCCCTTTATGTGCCAATGACTCCCTTTTATGTCCGGCGCCCTGGGCGGTCGGACCAGGTCCTACTCTAACGCTGCTTTTATTGTAATGTCACGTTACCGGACAAACCAATGTGTACTCTGTGTCAAAATTCATATCAACACCACAAGATGGCGGTGTTCAATAATATAAAGAAATGTATTTAATTATTAGCTTTCGCTCGCGACTCTGTCCGCGTTGAATTAAAAGAACAAAAGAGAGTAGCCTATGTGTTCCTTCACACTATCCTCTACATCTATGCCAAATTTCATCGAAATGGGTTCAGCCGTTTAGGCTACAAACTCTAACAAACGTCCATCTATCTAAACTTTCGAATTTATAATACGACTAGCTTTCGCCCGCGCCTCCGTCCACGTGGTATTAAAAAAAAACAAAACCAAATAGCCTATGTGTTCTTCCAGACGATCCTCTATCTGTATGCAAAATTTCATTGAGATCCGTCCATCAGTTTAGGCTACGAAGTCTAACAAACATCCATCTATCCATCCATCCATCCATCCATCCATCCATCCATCCATCCATCTAAACTTTCACATTTATAATAATATTGTATGATTGCTATGATTAGTATGATTTGTCCTTTAAATTGTGACTTCCATTCAGGATGGGTCTAGACCCGCAAGTGCTACTGGACGTGTTGAACAACTCGTCTGCACGCTCTTGGTCCACGGAGGTGTACTGCCCGGTGCCCGGCCTCGTGCCCACAGCGCCCTCCAGCAGGAACTACGACGGTGGATTTAAGAACGAACTTATGGTTAAGGTAACGATGAATTAAAATTACACCATCTAAGATATATTGTTATGATCGGGTATTTATTGTTTACCTGCATTATTAAGTAAAGTCACACTAAGGGACTTCCTAAGTTAGCTTAAAGAACCATTGAGATATAAAAAATCTAATTTTAGCTAATACTAGATGTTCCCGTGCGGATTCCTCACTGAATTATAAAAACGTTATTTTTTCGTTTACATTTATCAAATTCTCAATTGTAAATGTCAAAATACCAATTACCTTACTATGGCAAACTTACTTTCTTGATGTTGGCAACTTATGTTCTCTTTCCCACATTAGGGTTTTTATCCAAAATATTTACCCCCTAAGTTTAATGGCGTGAAAATATATAGCCTAAAGCGTGACGTATGTAGGGATGTTTATTAAAAAAGTATTATTCTAAAATACGCTTTATTATAATAGATTATTTTAAATACGACAGCTATAGACTACTAAAATCTATAAGTAAATAGTGTATTATTTCTGTATTTCCCGTGTCCCAGGACCTGGAGCTGGCGAGCGGCATGGCGCTGGGCATCAGGTCCCCCATCCCGCTGGGCGCCGTCGCCACGCAGCTGTACCGCATCGTGCAGTCGCGCGGATACGGACAGAAAGACTTCTCCTTCGTATTCCAACTGCTTAAAGAAGAGGCAGAGAAAAAATGAAATAAATGAATTATTAATTTAACCGTTATTTTATTCACTAAAGCGTAAACACACACTTCTTTGTTGCCTAACATTTCAGCAATTACAGCATATTTTTGATTAATTCTTTTTTTAATAAAAAAAACCCTACAATTGCGTCACGCTTTAGGCTATATATTTTAACGCCATTAAACTTAAGAGGTAAATATTTTGGATAAAAACCCTAATATGGGAATGAGACCATAAGTTGCTGCCAACATCAAGGAAGCAAGATTGTCAAGATTTGTCATGTTATGTCATGTCATTTTGACATTTACAATTGATAATTTGAAAAATGAAAACAATAAAATAAAATTTTCGTAATTTCGTGCGGATCAAGCCGCACGGGAACAGCTAGTATTTAAATAATCTTGCAAAATTAGTATGCTTTATCAAGTTATCAAGAAAAGTTTTTAAATTACAGCACAGTTTCAAATAATAACTTTTCCAATCAATGAATAAAACTTTAATTGCAAAGTTAGGAAAATCTAACTATAACTTAAGCTAACAACCCTGTAATTTGAATTGATGTTATCGGCTTAGTTCGCTGGACATTTTCTTTTCCAATTCGCGAAATGTATTTAAACGAACAGGCAATTTGTATTTTATTAGAGCCAGTAGTCCCGGTATCTATCCGGATGATTTAACCCAATCAAATTTATATGCAAATTTAAAGGCTCGAGACCCTTTTATTAAAGAAAGGTCCCAACGTTTTGCATCAGCTTGTCTGGACTTTACGACTCGTAATCTAAGACTAAATCATCTCGGATAAAATTGAAATCGACAATTGAAACGTTAATAAACGGAACATAAAGACGTCTATCGCAATATTCCTTTAAATTTTTACCTTTCAAGGAAAACTAGCTAACGCTAACTTATACGTTACTAGATGGCGCTGTTAAATATTAATGGAGCATGAAAATAATTAAAACATTTAGAAAAACAAAATAAAAACTATATTCATACGCTCACATAGATTACCTTTTATTTTTAAATAAATGTTTATCCACAAGAGTAGATCGTAAATAAATAAAGAGATCATAGCCAGTGTCGCTTCTAATTTATTATTCAGTTATACAGATGAACGAACTCTTTTGTGTCGTTGAAAAAAAATTACGTCGCAACCGTCCCTCTCATTGTCCCTCATTCGACTTTTACTCCATTAAAATTTCAATATGGATGGACGATTTATGCTTTCAAATTCCGCGTAAATGAAAATGCCGATGAAATATTTTAGCATTTCATAAATACCATGATTTTGCAAAAGCTATGAAAAAAATTTATAAAGTAATAAAAAATAAGAGTTCTAAAAGGTTTTCAAACCAAAAATAAATTCACTCTACGAAGTATTAATCAAGTTTTGTTAATCAAGGGTCTTCAAGTATTTAATTTTCGTCTAAGTCGTGGATAAAGCAATTATATTGTAAATATGCTAAGTTAGTTTTAAGTTATGACAGGCAATTAAAACTATAACGACTTTGATCACGAACGTTGGGTTAATAAACGTAATACTCAACTAAGTTACATTATTAGACAATATTTATTTTATACTAACTTTCGCCCGCGACACCGTCCGGCTGGCATTAATAAAACAAAAGTGAGTAGCCTATATGTTCTTCCAGACTATCCTCTACATCTATGCTAAATTTCATCGAAATCTGTTCAGCCGTTTAGGCTACAAACTATAACAAACATCCATCCATCCTTACATCCAACTAAACTTTCGGATTTATAAGTATGAAGTATGATTTGAATAGCTGATACTCGCGACTTCGCCCGTGCCAAATTAAAAAATAATAACAAACAGCCTATGTTACAGATAGCGTAGCTTTTTAATGGTGAAAGAATTTTTGAAATCAGCCCACTAGTTTATGAGTTATTTTAATGCATACGAAAATCCAAAAATCTTTCTTCTTTATCTTAGTATCTCCTTTATCGTAGTATTTTTATATTAGTATAGATTTCTATTTATATAGATCTTGTACAATCAATGTTTTAATATTTTTCGAGCGATTGAAATTAAAAATTATTAAATGAACAGCGCGTTAACATCAGTTCATGATTACTACAGATGTCTTACGTAAAATATCCCCAGCAATCAGGTGTCAGTCCCCACGTGGTAATGATAGATGATCGCATCCTCACGCCGTCATAATCATACCATTAATCTTCTGTCAAAAGCGTACTCTCCTATTAAACTGTTTTCCAACAGCTTTGGTGCACTGAAAACATACTTAAGATATTTAAATATTTACGAATAAAATTGTTGACAAAATACTTTGTAAATATTTAGAACTAGTATTCACCCGCGACTTCGTCCGCGTGGAATTAGAAAAAAAAACAAAAGCCTTCTGTTTTCTTCCAGAATGTCCTCTACAACTTTACTAAATTTTATAGAAATCTGTTCAGCAGTTTAGGCTACAAACTCTAACAAACATCCATCCGTCTAAACTTTCGCATTTATAATATTAGTATGAAGTATGATTGGACAATATAATAGTCAGGGCAGGCGTTAATGTAGTGGTTGGGTAATCGCCCAGGGCGCAAGACCGCTACAGGTTTTCAAGTCTTAAACCTCTAAAGCACTAAAAAATGGACGCTTTACAAATCTCGCCCAGGGCGATAAAACCATTACTGAATCTGGTGATTCAAATTTTTATCAACTATCATAACAAAGGCGTAACTACCACATCCACAGTTACTATCAGAAATAGAGATCTTCGAGAAAGTTCTAAAACAAAAGTTTTACGAACACAATACGCAGCTATAGAAATAGCACAATCATTTGTTTTAACAAAAGGCTTTGCATTGTACATATGATCCGCCAGTCGTGAACGCGTAAGCCGTGCCCTGGCAATCGATTGCTTACAAGTCATTGAAGCGAGCTGTGCGGTGAGCCGAGCCCCGGGCTCACTGAACACGCCATGCTATAACATTGTGCGAAGCTTGGCAGTCAATCCTGTATCAGAATTTGTGTTAAATTGCAAGAAAATGCTATAAAAAATTACGTACATGTTTACTCAAAACTTTATGCACTAACATACTTAACATTCCTACATTTTTAGCAATATTTTCTATACGAACTGTCTTATTTTAATTCTTCTGTCTTACATTATCCAATTTATCTGACAAGAGTTGTCGCCATGATAGCAAAAAAAGAAAACTAATTTCGAGGTTATATTTGCTCGAAAACAATACAGAAGGGAAGTTAAAAAAATAAAACAAAACTTTGATTTTTATCCATTTAATATTTTCATTGTAAACTCATACTTGATCTATTCAACCGTTTATATTTTATGCACGATGTTGAACCACGAAACATTTCTTTACATCTCTAGTACATTATGGGGAGCGAGCGAGACAAGTATAAGGCATATACATGAGCGGGAAAGAGACGATACGATGTAGTTTCATGTCCCCACAATGTACACAATTCAAAATAGGGTCGCACCATAATTGACTTGAAGAAGCTAACGAATTAAAACAAGCTAAAAAGATAACCTAAAAAGCAAAAACATTCTTCCAAAAATTTTATACAATTTAAAATGCGAGATTGCTAAAAAAATCATAAAATATGGCACCGTATATGAAAAAATAAGAAGCATAAAAATTTCGAACTTTTTTCTAAAGGTTTAATTTATATACAAGGAGTATTATTTGTTGTTCATAAATTGATAAATTCCACCTTTAGTATGAAATGTTATTATCTGTGGTAACTATATGTATTTTATGTAAATTACATAAATAAAATCGATGATTAACATATGACAGTAGCTAATCATTTTCATTTGTACCTAAAACAGAGCAAATAAGGTTAAAAATCATTCAACCCCCTACAGCTTATAAGCCTAATTTTTATAATTACGATTATAAATATTGTGCAGTAATTACATGAAAATCCGTGTAAATTACTATAAATTATGTATAAATTGATAGATAAATTTAGCCGCCATTTTATTGACAGCTACAGCTTTTTTCAACTCAGGCAAAAACAACATTCTTAAATATGAAACGTACAAATATAAAACAAATCAGGAACTATTGTATCAGGCCATTTATAGTCCTTTACAGATAAAAAAATAAATAAGAAATAAAAAATAATTACTTTCCATTAATAAAGCTAAAACAGTCGAATCAACCGTAGAATACCATAAAATTATAATAAAACATCGTGAAAAATAACCTAAAAAATGTGAAGGAAATGTACTTATACGACTCATGAAATATAAATATACATAAAAATCAATTGAATTCTATTTTTTAACATCCAAAACTTGTATTTACCTTTGACTTTACTTTTAATAACAACTTTCCGTAGCGATTTTCAATGTGACCTCTACTACAATTGCAATAAAGTTCAAAATCTGCTGCAAATTTGTTACAAACAGTAAAGTTATCAAAGAATACGTAATGATGTTGGTATCATTGATTGTACACAAATCAACCGAAACCAAGCTCCAAACTAAATAAGTTACACATTAAAATATGAACCTTAGTAAGTGCTAATAAGATATATTTTCCAGAGAACTTTGTTTCGGTCGATCTGCAAGTATGAAGATGTGCCAGTCAATGAAAATACTACAATAACTCCTAAGACTAAGTAATCCTTATATTAAATTATGCAATATCTTTGGCGATTACTCTGCTAGCGGTACCGACAGATTTGTTCGAAACTAAATCATCCATACATCATAAAAAACGTACCAATGTCGTTGTAAATTCTCACAAAAATTCACTATTTTAATACTGAATAAAAACTGGTACCATTTCGCTTAAAAACTAATTATTTTACTGATAAAATGATATTTTTGATATAATCGTGAATATAACAAAAATAATTAAATACATCAAACAGTGTTTTTTTTATTTACTATTTACTATTAAAGAAATTGTAAAAAAACAATTTTCCTATTGAAATTTACACCCAAATTCATATTAAAATTTAAAAATGCAGTTACTGAGATATCATTATTTTATTTTAAGTAAATTAGACTTTTTAAATTATCTATTAGGCTTCATATTCACGATTATTCTCATGTCTATTATCAAATACATTTGTGGAGTAACAGCGAAAACAGTACTTTGTCATTATTTTTTCAAACTAAACACTAAAAACGTCAATTTCTTCCATAGTGGCAGTTTCAAATTTGCACCTTATCACAATGTGATAGAATCTTTTTTTATAATCGTCACCAATTCTACACTCATTGGAATGATTAAATATTTACCTATACAGTTATATAAATGGATAGTTATCCTAGATACTAAAATGCAATAAAATGTACTGAATATATACAATTAGGTCCGCTCCCTACACTTCCATTTTGAGCAGTATATATCATACAATAAGGTAGATATTCCCAAAGCACTAATTCGATAGGAGATTCCGAATCCACGAAACGTCCCCCACTACACAATAACTATACAAATTTAAATACCCTTAACAAATATTACATCACACGAAAACCGAGCTTAGTTAAAATAAATACAATTGTATTCAAGACATTAAATATTTTATACAAAAAGACTTAATGACATACCGTAGACCGTACGTACTTCAGTACAAATATCGCGAGGCGATAAGGTCGAGATTAGCTTGTAGCATTCGACAACACGACGTACAAATGAACCAATCTACTTTGGCATTCACGTTAATAGCGTTATTAACCGTTAACAATAACAGTTATTTATAACGCATCAACTTAATCCTATATTGAGCTAAGATATTCGAAAATTACTGAGACCTGTCGGTATCGAGATGTAATCGATATCGAATCGACTTTAAATCGATATCAAATCAATAAATACAAATAATAGCAAAGTTATTGTATGATTGGTCAGTTGCGATGTTTACACAGCCATTTGTATGGACATTATAGGAAAAGGAGTAATACAAAATTGTTAATAATCTATACACTTGTCTTTTGAGATAACTCACATCTGTAGAAAACATATGACTATCTCTTTTATCCTCATTGTATAGAAAGAGATAGCAATACATTTTAAGAGTTTCTGCAGAAAAATCGGTATCAATTTATCGATATCGATTCTTAATTACTAAATCGATATTCTAGTACTTCTTAGATAAAAAATTGTCTACCGAATGATGAGAAATTTATTCGAAATATAGGCCATTAAAATATATAAAATGACTTACAAAAATTTTGATTAAAAAATGATTCTAGTAATATCATTTAGACCATTTTAAACTTTTGAGCAATCAGTTAAGATTACAAAACTCCATGCATTTCCAAATTATTTTGACACGTTTGTACTAACAAATTAATAATTTACACCTTCTATGGCAACCTTTAGTAAAATAACAGTCAGTTTACACTGCGAAATACCTTTTTGAACAGATCTTTTGACAATGTAACACTGAGGTTAACATAAACGTTTGATAAAAGTTTTTATTTCTCGATATGTCCCGTCTAATTTATAATTCAAAAGTTACTATTCGGTTAATTCAGTTTATTTTACTATTACTCATAATAATCAATTACCACTTAAATAAAATTTCACTATCACTTCAATAAAGACGTCAACTCAAAGAAAAATCTAACTAAATGCATTTTATTATACAGTACATTTAAATCGTCATATTATATTTATGCTATTGCATGCGTAGATATTCAAAATTCGCTTTCACTATATATTACACGTTACAATCTAAATAGGACTCTATTCCCTTACAATAGAGTTGACAAATAACACTATTCAAATTGTTTATGTGACTACATATTCCATTGAAAAATCTTAACTATATTGCTGTATTAGTCTTTAATTTTTAATCAATGAAACAGTAAAAGTGATGCATTTTATGAATAGTAATGGTCGCGTAATTCGATGTATTTCCATTTTCAATTTTCGACTTTATACATTTGTAATAAAGTCGAAAATCAACTCATAAGTCGTGTAGATTTAAATCGAAATAAATTATCTATTTCAACAAAGTACGGTCCATTTCTATACCGATTTAGATAATATCCATAGCTATATCACTCACACAATAGTCTTAATTTAAGAGAGTAGATTACACTGGGGGTCGATAGCGTCGTATTTCAAAGTCAACATTATTCGTTTACGCATAAGGTTCACAATTCCGTAGCTGCACTGGTGTTGTCTGTCGCAAAGCGTCGTAGAAATATTTTTAAAGTTCGTTACACTGGAGGTCGAAAAATCAATGCAAAAGTCACTTTATAGCAAGAGCACAAGGTTTACAATTCAGTGACCGCGTAGAGGTCGCGTTGGTCGCGCGGCTCGTGCACGTGTCGGTCGTTGCGGTCGTTGCGGCGGCGGTGTGCGGCGGCGGCGGGCGGCGCGCGGCGCGGGCGCTGCAGGCTGCGGTACTCGAGTGCGGCGGCCGACAGCGGCTGCGGCTCGGTGCGGCGCGCGGGACGCACCGTCGCGTACTTGTCGGGGGCGGCGCGCTCTGGGCGCTCGGGGGCGTGCCCGGCGGGGGCGGGGGCGGGGGCGGCGGTGAAGGTGGCCAGCGGGGGCGCGGGGGCGGCGGGGCGCGGGCGCGGCGCTCGCGGCCCGAAAGAAGCGTACTTCGGGTCGAAACGATTCAAGCTCACCGCACGCCCGGACTGACCTGAAATATCAAAGAAAATTAAGTAAAATCAAATCACATTTTACAACAGGTACAGTTGTGTGGGTGCGATACTGACCGGCGCCGGGCTCGGGGTGCGCGCCGCCGCCGGGCCGTTCTCAGTAGAAGTCGCTGCTCTCCAGCGTCTTGCACTGCTTGCTGAGCGTGGCGTACTTGCCGTTGTGGGGCGCGCGGCCCAGCGTGTGCGAGCCGCCCGCGCCGCCCAGGGCGCCCAGTCCGCCCAGACCGCCCAGCCCGCCGCCGCTCGCGCGCCCCAGCGTCGCGCTGCCCGACATGCGCGACCGCCGCGCGCACGCCACCTCCGCACTGACATAACACATACTATCAGTTGGTACGCAGTGTGAGACACGTGAGGTGTATGTGAGGTGTGTGAGGTGTGTGAGGCGTGTGAGGCCCGTGTCGCGCACCTCGGCCGCTCCCTGTCCGCGAGGTCCATGAGCTGCACGGCGGCGCTGTAGGAGGGCGGCTTGCCGTTGGGGAAGGGCGCGGGGCGCGGCAGCGAGCGCGAGCCGGCGCTGCTGCCGCTCGACAGGAAGGGCGCCTGCTCCTCGCCGCCGCCGCTGCGTCTGCAACGTCACGTACATGTACTATTTTATCTCATGTTTATTCGAAAAGTGGCCGTATTACATCTAAAAAATCATAAAAACGTCCATTTTATTTAAAAAAAAGTTAATTACTTGGTGTTGATGTAGATCCAAGCGTGAGAGTCGACCAGAACTATAGCAGTAAATAGAAAGCCTGCCGCGATCGCCGCCAACAGCTGCAGAGACAGCGCCTGCAACGAGAATCAACATGTTTGACTGAGGTGTTTAAATGATTAGCATACTCTTATCTAAGATATTAGAACCTTAAAAAAGATATTAGGACCTTAAAAATATAAGCACTTATTAAAGTTAATTGTATGTTTTCTAAATGTGTAAATATACCTGCAGTCCGCCGTCGCAAGCGGCGCGAGCAGCCGCCACGAAGTAAGCGCGCGCCGTGCGGCACTCCAGCGCGCCGCTCAGCGACACCAGCGCGCGCTCCGCCTCGCCCGTGCCCGCGCCCAGCGCGCCCAGCGCCGGCTGCAGCACTGCACAACATAACAAAAAATTATTAAAACATATATTAGCAGGATACAACCATAGGGAACAGTTCAGTGATGTGTAACCTGGGTCAGTGAACATCTGCGGCGCGCCGCGGGCCAGCACGGCCAGCGCCTGGCGCACCGCCACCACCGCGCGCTGGGCGTTGCGCAGCTCCGCCGTCAGCACGTTCTCACGAGACACCTTGCACGACAGGTAGTAGTACACCATCTGGACACAGAACACTAACTATTAACACAATAGGCAATATGCATATGACGCCAAATTGCACCAAACTTTTTTTAAGTATACTTTATTACTATAAAAACATTCCTGCAAAGATTTATTTTTAATATAATGTGATTTAGTGGCAAAATTTAATCATTAAAAAGTGTCTTTTTTCAAATTCCCTCGCTAAGTTCTAAAATGCGAACTATTGGTCGAAGCAAGTGGCTTATCTAATATGGCGTCGCTGTGTTAACAATACACAGTTCATTTACGTTAGTTTATATAGAAATAAACTCTTGAAGTATTTTACTGTAAACACGATATCAAAACCAACTTTAAAATAAAAAAATAACGAATAGAATTATTAATTACCACTTATTTGCACCAGGAATAATAAAAATGAATCGATTTTTGACTTTTTGACCTTGAGAAGCTTTGTTGTTTTTACGTCGAAGAGACTGAGCGTATGTTATGAATGGCATAAGACGATTGACGTCAATCGTCTCATGACAACTCCGGTCGCGTTTTAGTCGCTCGAAAATGGTCGTAATCTTATTTTATTATTTTTGGCTCAATGGTTGAATATTTTCGCGTCAATTTTTCTTTCTGGTTATTTTATAACAAGTAGAAACGTTAAAAAAAAGAAAAAAAATACATGCATATTCCTTATTGCGGATGTTTATGGGCAGCGGTCGCTTTCCATTTCGGTGGATTCAGGCCGCTCGCTCGTTTGCCACCTTACATTATAAAAAAAAATGAAATAGTTTCGTGTTGTTACATCAACAGGCAGATGGTGCGGCGCGTAGTGCGCGACGGCGCGCGCCGGCTCCTGGCAGGCGTCGGCCGCCGCCACCGCGCCCGCCGCCAGCAGCGCGCCCGCCGCCCAGCACGCCACCAGCGCGCCCAGCGCACACACCTGCACACACCGCACATACAAACTTCATTATTGACAGACTTCTCAAAAGAAAGAGGCACTCGATTCTGCTTTTTTTACATTTCATAACACCGCACGTGAAAACCCAAAGGAAGTGGCTTTTCGTTAAAAATATGGATAATTCAAATATTTCAACGCTTTCATCCTACATAGCTAATTCGTGGATTTTACAGATCTTGGGGTTCGAATCCCGCCATATACCAATGATTTTTAATTTTCGAATTTCATATGTACATAACTTACCCAACGTTCTTACGGTGAGGGAAAACATCGTAATGCCTACAAATATCGGCAAAGTAATTCAAAGATGTGAAGTCAACTAGTCAAAGAAGTGACTAGTAACCCTAACTTGTGTAAGCGTCGACCCCTTATTGGGGACGAGTGAGCTGGTGATGATGTTATAAATATAGATAGTATATAAAGTATAATATAGAATAGAAAATAGAAAAGAGATGGTGATGCAACCTGCACATATCGTCGAAGAAATTCAAAGATATGTGTGAAGTCAACCAACCCGCACTTGGCCAGCGTGGTTGACTATGGCCTAGTCACCCCATACTTAGGGTAGGCTCCGAGCCCCTCGGTGGGGACGTATAGTGAGCTGGTGATGATGATGATAGAAAAGAGACTTTGCAGGCTTACAAATACTTTTTAAAAGAACGTCATCTGGATAGATAACAGACGGCCTTATACCAAATCCTAACATTTGTATATTTATTCTCTTTTTTATTAACCGTATGTTAGATAATTTCACATTTTGTTAGTACTGTATACGTGTAAATATGTTACATTTTATATTTTGTCATAAGGGATCTTTTTCTTATAAAAAAGAGGCTTATAAAGGCATATAAAGGTTGTTATTTTTAGTTGTAGAATGAGGTAATAGTGAGTGTTACACAGAGCAGCAGCAGGGCGCGGCGCGAGCGGCGCGCGGCGGCGGCCAGCAGCGCCACGCACACGGCGCCGCCGCAGCACCAGCCCGCCATGCCGCCCGCCCAGCGCGCCGCCTCCCACACCCACGCGCGCTGCGCACACGCAACACGAACACGACACATTTATACACACAAACATTACTAACTAGCTGTAGCCCGCGACTCCATAACCTAGTAGCCTATATGTTCTTCCAGACTATCCTCTACATCCATGCCAAATTTTATTGAGATCCCTTCAGTAGTTTTGGCTACAAACTCTAACAAACATCCATCCATCTGAACATCATACTCATATTATAAATGCGAAAGTTTAGATGGATGGATGGATGTTTGTTAGAGTTTGTAGTCAAAACAGTTGAACGGTTTTATATGAAATTTGGTATGGATGTAGAGGATAGTTTGGAAGGACACATAAGCTACTCACTTTTGTTTTTTTTTTAATTCCACGCGAAAGGAGTCGCGGGCGAAAGCTAGTTTATAATATTAGTATGAAGTGTGTTTAATGTTCTAAAAAGATAGCGACTAATAGTGACTGGCTTATCTAATGCTTAATTCCATATCCTACTATATAAATGCGAAAATTTAGATTAATCAATGTTTGATAGTTTGTCGCTTAAACTGCTCAACAAATCTCGATGAAATTTGGCAAAGAAGTAGAGCATAGTCTGGAACAACACATAGGCTACTTGCTTTTTTTAATTCCACGCGTCCCAGATCGCGCGGGAAAGCTAGTCTTAAATAATATTAATCTTATGCGAGTCTCATTACATGGATGGATATTTGTTAGAGTTCATAGCCTTAACTGCTAACAAATCTTTATTAAATTCGGAACAGATGTAGACTGTAGTCTGGAAGAACAGATAGGCTACTTTAAATCACAGAAACGTTACGGTTCCCGTGGGATATATTAATTTTGCTGAAGATAACTTAACAATTCTGCAACTGTTCAACATATTGTAATTTAGGAGATATATAAAACGAAGTCTGGAGGAACACATACGATATGGTTCATCCCCGAAATATCCTTAAGGAATAGTATATTTACACTTCATATGATTTTTCGCGGGAAACAGCTAATAGACCATATAGTATAGAATATTTTAGCTATAGTTTGTCTAAATAAGATAGATTAGTTTGATAAATGACGCATATGAAGTATCGAATTCAATTTGTATGAAGGCAAATGCCATACTCAATAGACAGGTATCGGAGTGACGAAACAAACGCAGCGAACAATTTTGCACTATCGATATTCGGTTTAAATAATTATCAAACTCCATTAAAATTATTATTTTCTTATTCACTAATTTAGAGGACAATTCTAGTATTGATTATATTGTAGAGAATTTAGCGATGACAGAAATAATAGCGAAATCCAATTCGATGTAGTAGTAATAAACATTTATTTACTCTCTCTCTAATTGTTATGGTTATTTATTAATTTGAGAAAACAGTGTTTTCTATTTTTTTATTTCATAAGTTATAAAAATAAATCTATTGATTCCAACTTCTATAAGAATAAAAATCGAAAATCGATAAGATTCATGACTGATTTTACACAACCCATTCCTACTAAATTTGAAATGAATTGTCAAACTAATCTAAACGATTTAGACATACTATACTAGTGTTGTGACTGAGTTGTCACTGTTTGCCTTCAAGAGGCATTTACAGATTCACCGGGCTTGAGGTGGCCCAGTGCAGATGGCGCTTAGCCTAAACCTCTTTTATGAGTAACTAGGCTCGAGGGCTCCCTCAGGAGCCTCGGCTCGGGCCGTTACTTCGTTATTATTACCGGATTGGATACTATTGTAGTTGCAAGGCACCTTCATAACAGCGTCTAAGTTGAGAGCGGCGAGCGGGCGGCGCAGGTTGTCTGCGGCGGAGGCGGCCGCGCTGGCGTTGTTGCGCAGCGCGGAGAGCGCGCGCAGCAGCGTGCCCAGCGCGGTCTGGTTGGCCACCGGCGCGTCCAGCGCGTCCGCCAGCCGCGCCAGCGGGGCGCGCGCGCGCGACCCCATCGCCTCCTCCAGGATACTTGACTGGACACACAACAAACACAATATAATCATTCACGCGGAGCCTGCAACCCATTATCATATTTGTTATCTATCTATACTTATTATAATAAAGCGTAAACACACACTTCTTTGTTGCCTAAGATGTCAGCAATTACAGCGTGTTTTTTAATATTTTTTTTTAATAAAAAGCCCTACATTTACGTCACGCTTTAGGCTATATATTTTCACGCAATTAAACTTAGGGGGTAAATATTTTGGATAAAAACCCTAATGTGGGAAAGAGACCATAAGTTGCTGCCAACATCAAGGAAGCAAGGTTGCCATCGTTTGTCATCATGTCATGTCATTTTGACATTTGCAATTGATAATTTGATAAATGTAAACAATAAAATAAACTTTTCATAAATTCATGCGGATGAAGTCGCAAGGGAACAGCTAGTAATACATTCACTACATGTAAATGTATACATATTAGGACAATAAAGATTGGTTTTTTATTTTATTTATTTATTATTTATTTAATATCTAATACAAGTAAAAATTCAGGGCATCACTGGGGGTCAAAAAGGGGCTGCCCCCACCAACAGAGTCAAAAATTGTAGAATTACAATTTAAATTAATTAAAAAACCATAGAAAAGATTTATCTGAATGTTTCAATCGCCTTTTATAACATCATTTCCCCCAAGAAGTTAGTTTCCTATAAACTGCAGTCGATGACCTCTAATACTCATGCATACCTGATTCTTAACAGTGTTAACGAGGCCTGCGAGCTGGTTGCCGGCCTGTATGCTCTGCAGCACCGCGTTGTGCAAGTCGTCGTTGCCGAACAAACCCACGCCAATCGCACCGCAACACACCACGGACAGGATCATCAGAGTTATCTGGAAACATCGACACAAAGCTAGATCGACTTTTCTTTTGATTACATCGACATAATACTAACTGGAAGAAGTAAAAGTATGAATATTGCTTTGTCTTCATTTAAAATAACAAGACCGGAGACCGTCTAGTAAAAGTAAAAACAAAAGGCAGCAAAGTAAAGCAACAATAGGTTCACTGACACAGTCTGTCTGTATACGATATTAAAAACAAAATATGAAACGATCCAACGGGCCCCGCGTTGCTACTCACTAGAGACACCATACTGCTATCTGTCTACGGATAACATTACTTTGTGTAACTAATGTTTATTCGATATCAGATTAACTGATTGCTTTTAGTTAGTCATATCGTTATTATATTATGGAATTTACATTTAATGTTTTATAATAAATTCATAATAATGTAATTTTTCAGGGATTTACATATACTTTAACATTCGGCGACGCGTAATATAGCGTAGCGTTGCTTCGACAAAATCTATTTAGGTTATCCCGTGAATCACAAACTCATATGCACCGTAGTGTGCACACGTGTCCATTACATCACATCACGCATCGTGAGAAATGATTTGATTATGTTTACAGCCTTTAAATAGATAGCGTACTGGACATGTACCATATAGGCTTTGTAGATTGTTGAATAGGAAAGAAATCAAGACGGCGATATCTGCGTGATTTACAAATACTTCTCAAAAGAACACTTTTTGGTTTTATAATCGATAACACATACAAATTGCAGCAAATAAGGTTTGCAATTGGGTTACCATCGTTTCTAACCATTTTAGTATATCGCTTGTTACCATAGTTTGTTACCTTGAGTGCAGTGATACTCCTGGGCGGGCGTTGCTTCCTGTCGCAGCATCTCGTCAGCAGATATATGAGCAGCACCGTCAGAGTCAGGATGAGCCAAGCACCGGGAATCGAGCCAAGGATGCCCAGACTCTGTAATTTTAATAGCATAGAGTTAATATACTAGGACATAGCAGGTGTAACATGTCACACGATTAGTAACGTGAAGGGCAACGCAAATAACTTTCACCTGCTACGCTTCCCATCTTTAGAATAAGTACATAAAGGAAAAATTACAGATAATTTTGAACCAGTCAAAGCATGGGCAAAGGTAGACCAGGTCAGCAAATGTTCCTCAAAATGCAATCGAATGCAATGCATTTTTCTGTTGGCTAAGTCGTGTAAAAAACTCCAAAACTTGACCTTAATGTATCTTAGTTGAGTCGTTTGTTTAAAATGACGAAGTATTACATCACGACGTACGACGGTGAACACTTTGAAGTAAACTTCGACCTTACAGAAGACGCTGATGGCAAAATATCACACCATTGAAGATCTCCTAAATCTAAACGATATTACGTTACTTGCGTATGTTGGCACGCGGCTAAAAACCACAGGATCAAAGTTAAGAAGCACTACACAACGCCCTCTCGAGCAATCAAGTGCTTACTCTAAAGTCTGGAAGGGCTCTAAGCTTTGTCAACATTTCCTTAGTCATAATTAACGATACGCCACAACATCTTATGTTTCGTGTTTTTTACCTAATTTAGTTAACTGCCAAACATGTATTCACGCTATTTCTTAAATGCAAAAAGAAGACAGTTATACTTTACACTTTTGTTTCGCACAACTGTTATGCGATTGTCGCTTGTTTAGCAGCCTATTCAATAGTTTAGTTAACTAAAAATCGAGTAATGTGTGCACATGTATATAAATGTCATAGGAATCAAAGCGAGACTAAACAGTTGTGCGATATATTAGTTTCAGGTGTGCGCACGCTCTTAAAATGTACACTACTCTGTCATAACAATCAATAACTCACTACCAACAAAGCGCGACAACTTCAATTTAGTTCTCTTTTAGTTTAATGGAAACACGCGCAGCGCCGGAACTAATCAAAACTTTAATTAGTTTTGTTACAACTGGATATATTTACAAACAACTGAAGCTCGTGTCAATACATTTACACTGCAGAAAACTATTACCTTCCAAGTTAATTTATTGGTATAAAATTCCTCTTCGTAATAAAACATACCTGTTCAATTTTTAAATAATTTACAACCCAATTATAAATTCAATTATATAATTATTACCCGCAATAACAGAGTGGTCATAAATAAAATTAAACTTTATAAAAAGCTGTTAATGTTTAAATAACTATTATGGCTTATATCATTATTTCATTACCAAGAAGTATTTTTAATCTACTGTATTTTTTTATTACTAGGAAAATAGCTAAATAAATAAAGACAAAATAGTAGACGGGTTCAAAGATAACAATTATTGCGATACGTCTTAGTAAACGTAGTAGGTATCAGAATAAACATGTAGGTCTCCAAGTAGGAGATAGTAAAAAGTTACTAAGCTAGCATAAAACGATGTAACTTTCTTATCGGTTATAGAACTGGTCTTCAAGTACATGTTATTAAAAAAACTTACTAAGGTAGCATAACGTTTTGACGTTCTTGTAGATTATACAAAGAACTAGGATCACAGGTACCAGGCTAGCATACTATGTGCGACTCACTTCGAGGTATATCGGCGAGTTGGGGGCGAAGGTATCATTGACGCGGTGCAGCGTGACGTTGACGTGGGGTAGCGCGTGCAGCAGCCGAGAGAGCCGCGGCGGCGAGTACTCGTCCGACACGCCCGCAGATCCCATCGTCACGGTTCACACCAACACCTGCGTCATATTACATTTCAATAACCTACGTAATGTTTAAAAGAAAACCAGAGAATTGACGCAACACTAACACTATTATTGGCGTATACGTCCCGTCCCTATCTGATAGCTGTCAATGTCATTCAGACATACTAGAACAGCGCGCCATTCTGGCGGGAAACAGTGGCCGCAGTGTTCAAGTTAATTACTTTGTTATAGTTATAATTGCGTAAAAGTAATTACCTGTCCCTTTCACTAGAGCACTACATAACAGAGACATACTTTAAAAAATTAAAGATGGCTATTGAAAAGTCTGAGGTGTTAATACATTATCAAACCACATACTACTACTCTTAGTACGTTACATTACGTTAAGAAAATTCGCTAATATAATTAAACGTGTCATCAAAACCAAGGCATTGAATGAGGTCGGCGCATTGTGTAACTTGAATCTACTTCTCGTCGACGCGACATGTGGCGGTCACTGGACACATGTTGTGTGCAAATGTACATAATACATTATTATAAATAGTTACAAGAATATTGTAAGCTCTGCCAACTGTTTAATATAGTTAAAATGATCTGATAAAAAGTTTAAGTAAGCCCAACTTATATTTCGCTGGCAAGAAATGCAAAACCTCATTAAAATATTCCTAAACTTGTAATTATTGGATAAACAAAATAAATATTTATACAGAATATTGGTCTCTCAGATACTTGCTCTCTTGATAATACTTCAGGTGGGGACTAAAAGCTATAGTAAATACCCAGAGGCTAGCAGCTGTCTCAAAAATGACGTATACAAAAACTCACCGCAACAAGAAAGTATGTCTGCGCCTACGTCATACCCCTGTGACTAATGGGGCATACCTTTACCGGGAACACATCTGGAAGGAAAAGAATATATTGTTATTTATTCAACAAACAGGTCTGACTGATCTCTAGATCTGACGTTATTCACAGCGGCCAATGAATAATTGAACACCAATGGCACACTTTGAAATGTACATGCGATTGGTACTTATAATTTATTTATTGCCTGTATTATTTATTCTTACAATGCGGAGACAGGTGGGATAAATATCAAAGGAATTAAGGAACAGGAAATAAATTCTAGTAAATAAACATTAATCCATTTCGTTTCAGTAACTAGTTCTTATGTTTCAATGAATTCGTATCTACTGTACTGGCTTGATTATTTCCCTATTCCATTAACATTATATTCCACTTTAATGAGTATATTAGAAGCACTTAAAACTCTTTGAACCTTCCGCGTAAAAGACCAGTAATAAAACGTTTATAAGGTACTTCATAAAAAGCTTTGAAGTTTTGTACGTAAGAGTTTCGCTCGTTAGCATACGTACAGGTCGAAAGTTGCACAAAGAAGCAACTGTACGGTTCAAAACCTCGATGTAGCCGTAATGAACCGGGGAAACGATCTAGACAGGCACTATCTACTCTTATCTAAAGCACATTATACCTTATGTCATTGTGATAGAACCTAAAAATACTTTACCTTGGAGCTGCACAACTTACAGAACTCTACAAAGTAATTTTTTTTTAATTTCGATAAGGTAAATTTGAAGAAAGCTCTGATTGTATACTTTAAACGAAATGCGACTTAAAAGGGTTCAGTCACCTAATAACAATTATTCTCAACTGAGGCTTAATGTTTGGAATATCGAGACAATGGCCACATTTATGCATTACAGCGAGAGGAACCCTAAGCATGCTAATTTGAATACGGAATTTCCAAATTGGCCGTACATCAACCATTAAACTGTAAAGCCTTTGCCAAGACGTATCGCGAGGCATTTGGCCTAATTACTACACTTGGCAGATACCAGCTGGCTTATAGAATTAACTCCTTCTAATCATAATATTAATTTGCATATAGTTTGACTTAATTTTAACTCGACTTTATGTATCTTTGTAGCGGAGTAATCCTAAGTGGTAACATACGAGTATATGCAAAGACCACACACATATTGCTAGCTATAAGTCCATTCGGTGACATTTAAAGTGTATCGCGTACAGTCACCGGACCGGATAAATACATGTTGATATTACACAAGTCGGACCACTTCACACAAGTCCTATAAAATATTAAAGGACATTCAGATTTAAATATTCTATTTGTAGCGACATATTAAAAAGAGACCAAAAATTAACTTCGCGTACTTTCAGGTTTACGTTACATGAAACATTTTATTAAGACTTTCTAATGTTGATGGTATACAACTTAAAAGGACAAAAACCATTATGTAGGGTTTCTAAAACACGTGTATTCTGTGTACAAATTAGCAATGCTGTCATCTCGTCAAGAGGCAAAGGCAATCTAGATGAACGAATGGAATTCGTCACGAAACACATGTGGTCCACATGTTTTTCATTTGTCAATTTACAGATAGCCAGTGTTTAAAGAAATTAAGAATTCATAACACAGACATGATTACTTGAAGCTGGAACAAGATGAAATCCAAAGAAAAACTATTACTATCGATGTCTAAGAAACTATAGATCTGTTACTAGGAACAAACTAGATAGTTTTTCTGTGTGTGTTATACTGCACATGGAATTAGTCACAAAAACATATACTATACTAGACAGTACATACAGACAACATATACTAGACAGTACAAACGTGGAACCAAATAAGGAAAGCAATGCGTCAGTCCAGACCTGTTCCTAAACTCGTTTGAGACTAGACTGTGAGGAAAGTTGTCGTTTTTATCCAAACCTGATTAAGATCGACCCGGTTATCAGTTATTGCATCAACGGCTTAGGAATTTTCAATAAGGGATGTTCAGTTGATTATGGTTTATTATCATGAGAAAGGAAAACACTGCTGAAAAGCTTAATACATAAACAAAACAGTTGTTGCATGAATAAGCTTACATCTACGGGGGAAATACCATGACCTCACAGAATGAGAAATCGCAGTTTTTATTATATTTTTTCATATGACTCACAAATCTCGACTTTGTGACCCATTGCCATTTCCTCCCCTTTAGCATAAATTTTTCTGTGTAAAAGTTATTCGAGATCATTCGTTAATAGGGGAAGTACGAAAACGGATCTGGCTTACATAAGGAGAACTTTATGAGTTGGGGTACATCAGTACAAAATCAAGAAAGACATAGATGAATTGTTTGAAAGGTGACATGATCAAGAAGATTCTCTTGATGCGCCTACCCTACGTGAGTAGGATAAAGACCGGGAGATGTTGATGGTCGCGTATTTAAATTTTGAATTTCCTAAGGACAAAGAGGACTAGAATATTACACTGACATATTTCATAAATACGTACCTCATATCAAAACATCAGTAACGATTTAAATAAAGGTAACACAGTGTCACTTTTTTGTATGCTTTAAAGTTTGTTTATAAAAATTACATAGTAAATGTATTCCCACGCTTTATGTGATGTAATAGTTTAGCAACTTGATTGTTACGTTGTACAGCATTGTGTGGCAAGCGCGGTGACGTGCCAACAATGCTGCAGCAATGACTCACCGATATGATTGATTAGAAGAGTTCATATACAGGATGTTTTAAATAATCCGCTGCCATCAATTTGTGCACCCGCTGTAGATGGCATTTTCAAGCAGATATCTTGGCAGCTAAATTACTATTTATCGCAATTATATTACCTATTTTTTATCTGTAATGAATAGAATTTCGTAAACCGTAGCAAATTAAAACCCAAATTAAAAAAAATAAAGTTTCGTTTCTAAACGTGACTAACAACAGGTCAACGTTCTACAATAAATAAAATTCGCAACATTTACCGTACTCATAAAAAATCATCTATCGAAAGAGCACTCGTGCCTTACTTGAGAGTCGATACGAGTCTCGAAAACCAATTCCTAACCTATACTTACAAGAGATCAATGTAACGCCTACGAGTACAAATTTCAAGGAATAATGGGAACTATGCCAAGTGTTTAAGATTTAAATTCGTTTGATTTGGAACAACTACGTGCTGGGTACAAAGTTGCCAATAAATCTCCGATTACATCGCCTGTCTAAATTACACGCCAGCGCTGTATTTACTCGTTGGCAATACGGTGATCTTTAACGGTAATAAGACTACAATACTGGCTTATTATCGCGGCTCCGTCTGCACGGAATTTATGTAAGCTCGAGATAAGTGCCTCATGATTATAGAATATTAGTTTCAAATAAATAAACTTTGAGCAACACAAGTTAGGAGGAATACAATTGTGAGTTGCACACTTGCATGCAAGCACTGGCGTGACAGCTGCTAGTAATAAGACAAGGTTTAATGGCATGCAAGTAACTAGCATCATTCACTTGTTTAAAAATCTGACTTTTTAGAGCCTATTAAAATGTAAAAATTAACAATTGAGTGACGGAACTTAAAAATAAATATAGTCATCAAATTGTATCCATAGAGCCAATGTATTCAAGAGTGGGTACGTCACCAAAAGGTACAATAATATGAGGCAACAATACGCGAACACCACAATAGACGACCTACAACCGTTTAGTAGCACGCACTGATACTTGTGACTGCCAACTCTTTGTTACGGTAACCGCAGCATATAAGCATTTTGCGTGTATTCATGTCGAGTTAGGACTCTATCAAAATTGTATCCAGTTAGATGTCAACTGAGCGTTGACCTTTATATGAGAAATTTTTAACATGTTGAAATACAAGCTTTACAACGCCCACTCATTTTCTTATTTATTCATCTTTAAATGTGACTTTTAATTACATTTAAACTTTCTACTAAAAACAATGTTAATAAACTTGTATGGAATTTCAAACTGAATGAAACAGAAGTTAAATTCGATATTGTTCAATCATTTACTTAAATTACTCAATTCATAGATTGCTCAAACCTCTTCAATACAATGTAAATAAATCCTAAACCCATTACAATAAGGTTCAAAATTGTTTATTCGTATAATTCAGACAGGGGACGTCGGTGTTCCAGAATAATTGTACATCTAGTATGTGGATCATTCAATTAGGCGTCGCTCTCAGTCTTGGGCAGCACTTGATTGGTCACATCCTAGCCTCGGAATGCACAAATTGCCTGCGACCGGAGCTCACCTGCAACGAAACCAAATCAGCACTGGATATTCACTGCACACTAATTTGCGAATACGTTTACCTACACGAATATCGAGTAGGTAATAAGATACAATTCAATATTAATATGTAATTAGCTTAAGTAATATGATTCAGATACCATTCTATTATTTCTTAAAGCCACCCCGTAAGACACGAATCAACACTTCGCCTGGACGTCAACATGTTAATAAAATCCTGAGTTTAGGTGTCACCTTACTATTTTAAACGCTATTAAATGTCGTTTAAGTAATCGACCGATAGACAATTTTACAATATGAAACTTATTAAGATAGAAGATATCTGATGGACGAAAACCCATTGCGTCAACCCTACGAGAGTAGGATAAGGAAAGAAACAATGAAAGTTTTAGATAGATTTGCACAATAATGTGCTAATCATAATTCATCATCAACTTGCCTTTATCCCTTAGGAGGGTCGGCACAGTATGTGCTGCTCTTCCATACATCTCTATCAGCCGTCAAATCTGAATTCACTCCTTTCTTAAGCATATCCTCTTTCACACAATCCATCCATACTTTCTTCGGTCTTCCTCTTCCTTTGTAGCCATCCACATTCATTCTTAACACTTTCTGGTTTATGTCTCCATCGTCTCTTCGCATAACATGTCCATACCACGCTAACCTTTTGCTTCTCAATGTGCTAATCATAATTATCAGCAGAAAAACCCGGGTATGTCAATGTATTCATTCAACTCTTTGCAAAAAACACAAAATATAATAAAATCAAATCTTTATCACACACATAAATTAAATGCAATAATCT